TGGCACGGCCTCCTCCTCCGTCGCTTCACGTGCAGCTGCTTGGGGCACAGATGGGGCCTTGCCAGCACAGATGGACCCTCCGGCACTGCGGACGTTCACAAATCGTTTCTCTGTTTCAGTTTGTGCTGGCCGGTCAAGGCTCCTCGTCGTCCGCAACCGCGGCCACACAAACAGAAGTGTCCACCTCTGGACACGTTCTGCGGAGCATTCGAGCATTGAGAGGATGTCCACTCTGGTACGGCTTAACCACCCACTGACCGCATCAAGCCAAACGATTTGTGGTAAAACAAAAGTGGGAAAGAGCTTCGAAGCTCACGGTCCAATGTATGGAGATTCAAATCTACATGCGTAGATGTAGGTGGGTGGGTGTGTATGCATGTGTATATGCAAGTATGACCATATGTATCATATGTTGTGTAATGTTGTGTATGTATGAGTGTAGGTAGGCTGCATGTAGTCGGCGCCTGGCGCGCAAGTGCACTTCTAACTAGAAGTTATGCCAACACATAGCCAAATAATAGTTGTATACATGATCAGCCTGTGCTGCTGCCATTTTTCTCCAGCCATTGCTCGACGATTCGAGTCTTAATGCCCCTCACGACCGCTCACCTCACGCTCTGATGTTCTTGATGGCGAGCAGACCGGTCAGCAAAAAACGGCCCCTAAAGCCTCCATGGGCCTCCTCCAGCTTTGTATGCGAACGAAATGTATCGGAATCATCTCCCGGCAGCACGAACGCGGTGGTTCTGGTGGACCAGGAACGGGGACGCCCGAGACGTACGGCATCTATGCGGTTCGCAGCACATGGCGGGACAGGCTCAGCTCCGTTCGGGCATGTGGTTCGGCCAAACCTACCAGCCGCCGGCCGCCGCCCCCCCAAAAAAAATAAAGATCACACATCCAAATCATCCCAAAATCTCCGCCTCGCCGGTGCTCTCAGCGGTCTCCTCCGAAGTGGAGGACTCTCCCTCCGAGAGCTGCACGAGGACGGGTCCCGCCTCGTTCGGCGGCCCGGTCTTCGCGGACGTGCACCGTGGCGACCGCCGTTCGGGTGAAACCGTTCTTCGGACGTCCGACACGCCTCTCAAGGCATGTGCAGCAACACTGTCTGCAACGGAGCCTTGGCAACTGTCGTCGCAGCTGGCAACTGCATGTCGTTGGCTTCGCCTGCTTCGAGAGTTTTGGCGGATGGGAGAGAGCAGGCTTGGTACGACTGGCGGTTGGGGGAAGGACTTGGGAGCCAAGACAAGAAGGGTGGAAGAAATGAAAGTATAGGTGGCGGTGGCGGTGAGCGTGCAAAATCTCAGTTGATGACAAACTATCCAGCACTCTTTGTGGCTCTTCTGGCTTATGATCATCCTTCCAAGAATATCCTTTTTTGGGGGGGGGATGATTCAGGGTCGTTGTCCAAACAACCAATATGTAATAGTCCTGTTTGTTTGCTCATGTTTACCCTACCCAAGCTACACAAGCACATGGGGTGATCGCCCCATCACCCCTGGGCCATCAGGGAATGACCGAGCCAGCTCCGGAGCCACCTGCGGTCAGATCCATCGAACCTGCCTCAGGGGAAGCGGGGCGAATCGCCGCGCGCGGTCTCGCGCCGAATTCGCCCAGTGAATTCGCTTCATTGTGGAGCTCAACTCCTGGTGGGGTATTTCTCATCGAATCACGTGTACCAAAACAAGACCGTTCCACCGTTCCATGACCAAGAGATACTACAAGTATACTTTGCGTGTGCTGTGGTGAAGGTTGAACATCACAAGCACAAGCATTGTTTTGTTCTTTAGTGGACTTGGGGTGAAAGATTTGCTTGAAGTGGAAAATCCAAAGCATTCACCCTCTCACTGCCCAAAATTCCTCCTAGCAACGCTTCTAGCAGCGCTATTACAGCACACGATGCACGCGAGAGCCTGCGACCTAGGCCCCTCATTCAACCTCTTAGGCTCGCTTAGGCTATTCGAAGGTTTGACGCTCTGAGGGCCCTAAGAAGTGCCGTGAAATTCGTGGCGGCGTCGTGACACTCTCCTGAGGCAAGCCCATGCAGCTTGGAGAATGAATGGGAATGGATGATGACCCAGCTTGGGAAGAGACTAGGTACTATGAGGACATAGGAGCGATCGGACGCTACGAACGGGCCACTAGGGCTCCTGGCCTTACTAGGAACCAGAAGCTACGAACCGGCCGGGGCGACCCTGGCATTGCGAAGCGAACGGAGCGATCGGAGCGCCTCCCTTCGAGTCACTCTCACCACCGAGCCGCGAGGCGAGCTTCGTCCGAGCCTCGGCTCATGTGGTGACTCATGTGGCTTGTATGCCAAGAAGAATCTGGAAGAATTGTTGAGCTAAGCGGTATAAAGCGGTAGAGGAAACAAACAAACAAAACAAACAAAACAAACATCCAGATCGGATGAGACTTGCATGCGGGACACCCTTTCTTTCGTCCAAGACAGCTGGCTGTAGGCTGACCACGGCCCCAGATCTTGCCGTCTCCGCAAGTGTGGGTTGGCCCTACAAAGATGTCAAAAAATGAGTTTCTTTTACAGTAAACATATGCATACATGCATACAGTACTGTATGTGAAACCATGAGTGAAGAGCCTGAGGTTGGCTGGGAAGACCAAGCATCGTTTTGCGGGCAAGGAACGGAGCGTTCAATTCAGCCATTGAAAAAAACATGTTACTCTTCCCAACTAGGCTGTCTGGGGCTTGAGCTCTGCAATCTGATGATATTGACCCGGATCTGATGGTTTGTTCTTCAAACCCCAAACAAAAAAGTAGACGAAAGCCTATAAACCATCTTTTACCTGCTTGTCGAACTGGCATCCCTCTCCGTGACTCCCAACCGCAACTCTATCTCATCCAAGAAACTCCCCAAACCCAAGGCTGCCGCAGTGTCTGGCGGTAGCGCTGCTGCGATGGAGGCCTTCTGGGCCTTCATTCTTCAGGCGGGTGAGCACGACCAGCCATAGCCGCCCCCTCCTTTTTCTTCGTTTTCCGGATATTTTCTGAATGGTGAGCCCTCCGGCACGGTCACGGTTATCTTGCTGCTGCCAAGGAAAAAGTATACTATATATATATATATCCAGACGGGTTTACTTACGTAAGACTGTGAGTGTTTTAACCTCACATGTGCATTCATACGCTATTCGTGCTGTTTTTTGAGCATCCGTTTGCGGAATTTAGCGCGGCATTTACGCGTATTTACCGCGCATGTTTTCATCGGTCGATGTAAAACACACTGCAATTACGACTGCAGAACTGCGCCATGATTCCGAGGGTTTTGGTCGGATGGCACGTTAACGTTCGGTTCAAATTGCACGCTCATACAGAAGAAACCCTTCTACGTTGCTACACAATGCGAACGAC